CTAAAAGAGAAAGGGAAAAGAAAGAAAAAAAACAAGCATTTTAAATTACTCTGTAATCAATTCCATCAGTATGTTCAAATTGCTTTTGTGTTTTACACTTGAAGGGTAGATCCAACATGAACTTCTGCTAGTAGAAGAGCCAAATATAGTGAAAGCAGGAGGAGCGTCATCTCTGGTTTTGAAAGCAGCCCCCAATCCAAAATCCTCTTCTGAAATGCTGGGAAATCATTCGGATCTGCCTTCATACAGCTTCAACAGCTGTAAGGAACAAGGAAAGTAATAGAAGTTCCAGTGGGATGGAATTACAGTGAGAGTACCATGTTGGATTTGGGCCTAAATCTCTGGAATAAAATATCGAATACAAAGCACCCTGAGATACAATCTTTTTCTCTCTCATTCTCTTGAATTGGGTAGTATGTGTGTTCAGTATTCACTGAAGAAATATAATTTTAATGTATTCATAGTTATAATAGGAGCCCCTGGTGGCGCAATGGATTAAACCCTTGTGCTGGCAGGATTGAAGACAGACGGGTCAGAGGTTTGAATCTGAGGAGAGCACAGATGAGCTCCCTTGTCAGCTCCAGCCCCCCATGCAGAGACATGAGGGAAGCCTCTCACAAGGACGGTAAAAGATCAAAACATCCGGGTGCCCCCTGGGCAATGTCCTTGCAGACAGCCAATTCTATCACACCAGAAGCGACTTGCAGTTTCTCAAGTCACTCCTGACACACTTCCAACATTTAATTAATCAATTCTAAGCATGGTTCCTTGATGATAAGTCCACTATGTTTAATAGACCTTACACACATAGAAATGTGTACAGAGTTGCAGATATCAATTGATATACCTCGATTATCACAACGAGAATTTAACGAGGACAAATTTCAGTAACACATTTCACACAAAATTGAATAACATGAAACTGTGCCTTAAGAAATACAATACTGACATGTAGCGGTTTTCTAAAAACTACACCCCTTAGGTGTAAATGATTCCTTTAGAAAAGATTACATAACATTTAAATCACATTTGCCTAAGAAGATCATTTCACCCAGACGACAACACTGTAAAATGTTTAAAATATAACTTATCAAAACAAAATGTAACAAAAATAGTTTGTCAACATTTCTTGACAAAACATAGTCAACACATATATAGAATTCCCCACCCTAGTCTTCAAGTTAAAACGTCATTCCAAAGTCCGCCATGAAAACTGGTAGATTTTGAAGAGTTTGAGAACCAGTGAGATGGGAAAAGTACATTCCCCCAAATGTAATAATACTGCAACTCCGAGTAATTTTAACCATTAAAGCAACTGACAAGGAGTGTTGGGAACTGCACGCAACATCTGGTGGGTCACACTTTAACTATTATGTAGACTAAGCTTGGGGTGATTCCAAGTTCCAATTTTAATAACTTTGGAACAACCAACTATCTCAGCATATAAATGTGCATAACCAGCTAATTTTTGGGGGTAGATAAGACACTTGTATAAAGTTCAACTCATTAGTAAACTACAAATTTTCTTGAAGGCAATTGTGCAATCAAATTGGACTTCTGTTCTTTTCCTATAGTATTTTAAAGCTGTATCTTTTCGGGAATTCCTATAACCCACTATTCAGAAATATAAGTTTTGTTCTGTAATGAAGATATAGGGCCACTCAAAACCCGCATGGGAGGAAATTCCACAACCAAGGAGCAGCTCTCAAGAAGCCTCTCTCCTATGTCTTCACCAAAATACTTTCTTTCAGTGCTTCATAAACTATATGATGTCAGGACTAGCAAACACAATGGAAAATACTGTTATTAATGAAGAGTACAAGCTCAGGTTGAAGGTAGCAAGATGAACTCTTCATCCTTTCTAAAGTATCATTGGCTTAGGGACATATAAGAAAGAGCAGAAATTTAAGCTTCCTGAACTACTTCTTAATCCTCTTCTGCCTTCCTATTTTACCACAGTTGTGCCAACATAATTTTGGGCACGTTTTTGTGATATGCGCCAGTTGCACAGGAGTTCTGTACCATTTTGTCAATATTTTTTGTTGCATTTCTTTAATCTTTAGGTGTTTTATTTTATTGATTGAATTAATCCAATTGTCTATTTCTCTCTCACTGCAACTTAATTCCTCCTTCCAGACTTCTATTAGGGTAGATTTTGTGTTGTATTGTATTTCGGTGATTGTGTTATATATAAATCCCATGACTCCTTTCTCCTTTTCTACTTTCCATTTTATTAATTTGTCGAGATTTGTTTCTGAGGTTTCCTTATTCTTCAATTCTATTAGCTTTTTGGACAGCCCTCCCCATTGTAACCAATTTCCAAGCCCGCATTTATCTTTTATTTCCTCCCATTGAATTACAGTCCCGTCTGGTTTTAGTAAGTCCTCAATCTTTGTTATTCTGTTTTGTTCCAGTTTCTTTAGCATGTTGCGATATAGCTGGGGTTTTCTGTTGTCTAAGGAACCTATTGGGAGCTTGTCTATTTTATTTACTGGGAGTTTATTTTGCCATTTTCCCCAACAAGTCATTGTTAATGACAAGGGGCCTCCTTTTATGTTTTTTAGTTCTTTTCCCCCAATTTTCCCCATAATGCAAGATCCATATTCCCACCCGTTTGTTAATTTCTCTAACCTAACCCATCTTTTGGGCTCACCGATATCTAATTCAAGTAACCTAGCCAATTGACAAGCTTCGTAATAGTTCTGGAGGCAAGGTGCTCCCCAACCTCCATTTTCTTGTGGAGTATAAAAAATTGAATTTGCAATTCTGGTTTTACTAGAGCCTACTACCCATGTTTTAATTGAGTTATCCCATTTCTTTATTATTTTGGGAGGAATGCTACATGGAAGGCATTGAAATAAGTACAAAAGTTTGGGAAGTATCATCATTTTATATGTCTTCACCCTTGTTGTTATATCCCAATTCCATTTTTTCCAATTGTTAATCTGTTTGCTTATTTTCTTCCATAGTTGGTTATAATTTATCTGAATTATGTTATTTAGATTTTTAGGTATATACACTCCTAAGTATTTTAACTTCTTTTCCCCCAGTTTGACCCCTAGAATAGATTGGACTTCTTTCACCTCCTTCCAGTTCATGTTTTTAGGTAGGATTTCTGATTTTTCAATATTAATTGTTAAGCCTGAGATCTTTTCGAATTTTTTAATTTCTTTCGTTACTTCAATTACCGAATTCTCCATTGAACCTATGAGGACTACTGCGTCGTCTGCATACAAATTTATTTTTATTTCTTCTCTATCTATCTTATATCCTTTTATGTTTTTGTTTGATCTGATTAGATTAGCAAAAGGTTCTATCGCTAGTGCAAAGAGAAGGGGGGAAAGAGGGCAACCTTGTTTGGTTCCGCTTTTGATTTCAATAGTTCTAGAATTGGATCCGTTTACTATCACTTCAGCTAGATTATCTTTATACAGTTCCTTAATTACTCCACATATCTTTTTTCCTAAGTTACTCTCCTCGCATAAGTTAGCCAAATAATTATGATTTATTGTATCGAATGCTTTGTAAACATCTAATTTTATTAGAAGTAATTTTGTTTTCTCTCTAGTTGCATGGTCAATTATATTTATGATATTTCTAATTGGGTCCGCTATCTTTCTTTTTATAATAAAGCCGTATTGATCTTCCTCAATTAGAGTGGGTATTACCTCTTTCAGCCTATTAGCTATTATTTTTGTGAAAATTTTATAGTCCACGTTGCATAAAGTAATAGGCCTATATGAGTTGGGGTCAGTCCCCTCTTTGTTTGGTTTTAAAATTGTTATAATTTCGGATTTTTTCCATGTTTCTGGAATTAGTTTATTTTCCATGATTTCATTATATAGTATTAGTAAATTAGGGGTGACTTCCTTTTGAAAAATTTTATAGAAATTTGTAGTGAGCCCATCGGGGCCTGGTGAAGAGTTTATTTTTAATTTCTTTATTACCTCCTCTATTTCATTGCTAGTGATGTTCCTGTCCAGTGTTGCTTGGGATAGAGGGTCTAATTTTTTTTGGAGTAGTCCTTCCGATTTCACTGTATCCTTACTCGTGTAAAGCTTTTCGTAGTAATTGGCCATTATTTCCTTTAGGTCCTCCTCGCTTGTTTTTATTTGGCCCATCTCGTCTTTCAAATTAAAGATTTTTGTTTTCCCTTGTTTCTTTTTTAGGAAATTTGCTAATTTCTTTGTGTTATTTATGGAGTTTGTCTGAAAGTCGTTCTTGACCCAGATATATTTCTTTGTGCTTTCAATTTCCTCCAGGTTTTCTAGTTGTTTATTTAACTCTATCCATCTCTTCCCCCCCCCCCCCCACTGTTTGGTCTTTTTGAAATGATTGGAACGCTTCTTCTACTTCAGACCTCAATTTCCTTAATCTTTCATTTTCTCTTTTATTTATTCCCTTCTCGATTGTTATACACTTTCCTCTAAATGGGAACATATGCCCATATGTGGTGGGAATGTGAAAAAATCCAAAAGTTCCAAGAAATAATCAGGAAAGAAATGGAGGAGCTATTAGGGATCAAGATAGAATGGAATAAGGCCCAATTTTTCACTCAGAAATTCGAAAATAAAGAGGAATATAAGGAAAGTGAGGAAATAATAAAACATATGATAGAGGGAATTAAAGCCTCAGTGGCCCTGGGCTGGAAAGACCACAAGAAATGGGATACAAAAACCTGGTACAAATATTTAGCAGATTACCTTCTTCAAGATTATATTAGCGAAAGGAAAAGTTACTATATGACGGGTCAAAGCAAAAAGACATGGAAAGCAAAATGGAAGGGTCTCATATATAGAATAAAGGGGAAAGATAAATATACGGTGTTGAACAAAACTATTCTCATGATTGAACAATTGTAATAAACACAGCTAAAGTATTTATTTGTTCCCGGGGGGGGGGGGGGTGCTGGTGGCGGGATTGGGGAAAAAACTGGTATTTTGAATGTTATTTTCAAAGATGGTATGTTTCTATGTATTATACAATAATAATAATAAAAT